TAATATATGAATGCAAACACTTAAAACACACACCTTAGTGTTTCTGTGCTGACATGCATTTCTATATTTGGAACTTCAGACACTGGAAGTGGCCAAGGTCCTTTTATTTTATTTTATTTTTAGAGGTCTTTGCGCTCGCCCGAAAGGGAAAGACAGAGAGACAGAAAGCGAGAAATCACCCCCCACAATCCCTTCTCCTCCATTCTCCTCTCATAATCTTGGGCACGCACACACACGCGCCTGGCATAAGTTTAAGCCACCGGGTCTGGGACTTGAACCACTGTTGACTATGTGGGAGTCCAGCAACATAGCCATTACACCAACTGCTGGTCCCCAAGGCCCCTTTTGACACAAGAGTGGGTTGGGCTGCGGTAGCACTGAGGAGCTGTCCTGCAACGGGCCGCAGTGCTGGGAGGCAGCTTTACAGAGAGCACAGACCTCTTGTTCCAGTTCAATTGGGAGACTGAGATTCCCAGATAAAGCTGAGAGCTGAGGCCGATGGTATTTTGGCAGAAAGAAGGACAACAGCATGGCACAGTGCCTTGTGCTGTGTGCTCGGAAGCCCACCTTCCGGAGAAGGAGTTGGGCTCTCACCAAGCTGGGACATTTGGACATTATATGGAGGAACACAGGGAGCCACCAAAGACAGATGAGGATAAGCAGTTTGCTTAGAGCTGTGTTATGGAAAGATCACTGGTGGCTGGTGGAAGGAAGACTGGGGCCTGGGACTGTCGTCCATGTATTTCTAGGTAGAAACTCCAAGGCTAGTCCTCTGGGGGCAGGGCAGGGACCCCAGCCTGAGGGTGTCCAGTTGGAACCTTGACAAGACACAAGGCCCTTCCCAGGCAGCAAGACCCACTGTCAGACGCACTGCGTTCTCCCAGAGAAAGCGGCCTGATCCCAGCCCCCCCACGCGGAGTGTTTCTTCTCTCTTGGGCCTGACTGCGGTGAGAGTGAGAGTCAGGAAGCCTGGCTGGGAAGAGCAGATCCGAAGAGCCAGGAGGTTGTTCCTCACTGGGCGGCTCGGGGATCTGATGCCTCATTTCCTGGGACAATCTGTTGGTTTTCTTCCTGCATCATTTCCTTGTACTGACGTTTGAAGAAGCCAACCTGTGAAAGGAGGGGAAGACAATCAGAGAGTCCAGTGCAGAGAGGAGGAGAGATGATGGGGAGGGGTGGTCAGCACTTCTGGAGCCCCTGCTTTGTCCAAAGCTCTGCACTGGGAACGTGATACACACGGTGTCACTCGGACCTCACCAGTGTTCTATGAGCTGAGGGGCACCACCTCCAGGCTGAGAAATCACTTGCCTACAGTCAAAGAAAGAGAGACTCTGCGGTGAGTGACTTTCAAACCCAGCTCCGAGCATATCTATTAGTACCTGCTCTCTGGAGAAACACACAGGGAGGTGGAGAGGCATGGGGAAGAAAGAGAGAGGGGCCAGAGAGGCCTGAGAATCAGACGGGAAGGCCCAGAATGGGGGGTGTTTAGGGAGGAGAGCTCGCAGGCAGGGGATGCATCTCACATAGAGTGACCCAGCTAGCACATGCACCGACTCCAAGGTGAGTCTTTCTTACGCTGGAGAAATGGTGGGCTCGGGCCAGCTGTAGCGCTGTGGGTGGTAGGTCACTGCAGCATGGCTCTGCAGCCACCCGGAGGAACAGGTTCAGATCCTGGGTTGATTTGAATAAGCCAAGTGTATCCTGGTCAAGGGTCTCTTTCTCTCTCTCGTGGAAGAAATGAAGCTTTTTTTTTTTTTTCCTTTTAAGAGTGGGATTAGGGCCAGCCTTGTAGCATGGTGTGAAAGGGAGCCAAATCCCACATGGTTGACTATGGTTCAAATCTTGGCCCCAGCAGCTTGAAAAACAAACACAGGGTGCATGTGCATGTGTGTCTAAAATTCTGCCAGGATGGAAACTGGAAGAGAAGGGACTGCAGCACGGCCGTGCTCCGTCGCAGGGTACTTTCCCCCTTGCCTTCTCTCTTGCTATCTCTGTCTTTCTCAAGCAAGCGCACAGGCCTTCTGGCAATTAAAAGAAAAAGATGGGGCCAAGTACAGGTGGTGTCAAAAGTAGGAGAAAACACTCGCCTTGTACAGCGTGGCTGTGATGAGAGCCAGCAGCAGCAGACCTCCCACTGAGCTGCCCGCGATGAGGGGGATGGGGTTGTGCACCTTATATTCTTCCAGCACCGTCTCCGTCTGATTTGAGGAACAGAAAGAACCAGGTCTCTTGCTGCCCAGGCTCCTCCCAGGTTCCCCAACCTCTAACTCCCTCCCCGCCTTCCCCAGGCCCTGCTCCAAGGGGCGAGGGGGGCAGAAGCACCCATGCGCGTAGGGACAGCCGTCACCCTCTTCCCTCTAGGCGGGCAGACCCCTACCCAGCCTCACAGGTTTAGCTCAGGAGCCTGTACCAGCCCGGCCCCCGCCTACCACGCAGTCACACCTGGGCTCTCAGAAATGCCTCCTGTCCGGGAAGCTGGGCGTACACGGATCTGTCAAACGTGATTTCAGCCACACTCACCAGTGACACCTTCTTCTGCAGTGTCTGCAAAAGATGGGGCAAGGGGGCCGAGGAATTGGTCTGGGGGATGCTCAGAGACCCAGACATGTCCTGGCTTGAGGTTGGCTCAGACCCAGCAGGGGCGGCCTGAGTCTGGAGGAGGGCTCTCTGTGGGGCCTGCACACCTGGCTGACCCAGCCAAAGCTGAGGTTGCCCTTCAGGACGAAGTCGAGTTCCTCCTGGACGCCAAAGGATGGGATGTCACAGCGGAGCCTCAGGCAGGCAGCGATCGAACAGTCCTGGGGACAGAGTAGCAAGATGAGGCTGAAGGCAGAAGGTGGCATTAAGTGGTGCCACGTGAAGGCAGCAGCCACGACTGGAACCTGAGGCTGCTCAGCACGTGTCTGTTAGAATGGAGCACGATTCCTGAATCACTCCTCTCATGTGGGACTTCCGGGGGACAGCCCAGAGCCCTCCTCACCAGCACAGCATTCTTCTGAATGTGATTCAGGAAGTCGGACTCTGGGGGAGCTATTCTCTCTGAAGAGCACTGCATGGACGGGTTCTAGGAGACACAGAGGCCAAGCGTCCCAGCTGAGACATCAGGAAGTCATGAGAAGTGCAGGGAGTCCTGGAGGGTGTCAGCCCTGAGTACCTGGGGGCAGGAGACTTCCACCTGCGTCCACACTGGCTCCTGGTGCAGCTCCATGGGCACCCAGAAGTAGATGCTGACGGGCAGGTCCCGCTGACCCAGGTTGTTCACCTGCATGAAGGGCAGTGAGGCCAGAGCCCACGCCAAAGCCCACGCCTCTCCCTACGCTCCAGTCCCAGGCCCCGCCCCAGCCCAGGCTCCCGCATCTCCACCCCTTGCCTGATATCTGTGCTGGGCCACACTGCTCTGCTGCTTCTCTGAGGCGGAGAAGTTGAGGTACTTGGTGGATTGCTCATGGCTGAGGAGAGAAGAGGCATGGTGAGTGTGGAGTCCCCGGAGCCTCCTGAGAAGGCTCTGGCTGCAACATGACAGGACAGGTGATCGGTGGGGCCTGGGGTGGCCTGGAATGAAGGCTTGGCTGAGTTGGGATAAGGAGGGTTTGGGGAGCATGGCTGGACTTAGAGATGGGTACAAGGTGCTTGCAGAAGCTGCCCATGGAGGAGACTGCTCAGGGCAGGACTGCAGGGAAGGGGACCAAGAGTTGCACTGCCGACCTCTAAGGTCTGCCCTTTCTACACCTCAGTTTCCCTTTCAGTCTTTCAGGAGCACATGGATGCTGGTGGGGACTGGTACACGGCAAAGGTTTGGGGAGACTCAAGCTGTTGGCCAAATGTCCCCTGAGCCTGGCCCCTTTCTGGTCTTCCCTGGCCTTCCCCAAGCCCCCCTCTCCCATTGACTAGGACCTGCAGGTAATGGGAGGACCCAGCAGCAGATTCTTCACTGGACCCCAGTTCAATGAGACCTCCTGAGGCCTACTCAGGCCTAAGCCTGGAGACCCAGGGGCTAGCCTGGATCCTCACTTGGGTGGCTGCTCTCACTCGCCCTCACTGGTCCACTCCTTGGGTACCTGGTCCATGCCTGAATCGTCCAAATTCCAACCCAGCACTCCTGTGCCAAAGCCTTATTCCTCCTCCGTCAAGGGACTGCCCCTAGCCTGGCTCTGGGGGTACCGCTGCTCACAGGGTTGGTCACGTCTGAAGAGTGTGGCTAAGCTGTAACACCCCACTTGCCTGGAGGCAGAATGCTCTTCCTGTGAGTCCCCTGCAAAGAGGTGTGAGAGCCCTAGTGCACACCCTACAAACACGCTCAGAGCATGCACCTGGCTGGGAACCCCCAAATGTGCAGGTGCAAATATGAGTGTGAAGCTCTAGGCAGGAAGAGAACATCTAAAGAGCAAACCCCACAAGGGCTGAGGTTACTTTCTGGTTTGGATGTTATTTGGTCATTGGAAAAGTCATCATAAATTGTTCTGGTTTTCTATGCAAAAATGCATCATGACTTTTCTGAGGACCCAGTGGATAACGGGGGCCCCGTAAGTCTGTCGAGCGTTAAATGCGTTGGTGGGAAGGAGCACAGCCCTGCGCCCGGTGCACAGCACGTGCTGGGAAGGTGTCTGTGGGCAGCACTCAGCTCAGCGCTTTGCCTGGGGTTTCAAACACCTCATCTAACCCTCTTCAGGCAGTTTTTTGGGTTTTTTTTGAGAGATTTTTGCCATAGGGTGCATGTGCTTGCTGGAGAGACAGAGAGATAGAAAGAGAGAAATCATCCCCTGGGAGGGATGGCCATGCCTCAGTACCTTCTCCTGCATTCTTGTCTAGGGATTTTAGGCACACATGCATATGCACCTGGTGTGAGTTTCAAGCCACAGGATCCAAGGCTTAACTGTGGCCGACCACGTGGGAGTCCAGCAATGCAGCCACCGCACCATCTGCTGGTCCCCCTCCAGCAGCATTATAAGGCCCGGCCCACTTGTCCAGTTTCTGCCTGACACCCATCCTCTGCAGCAGGGGACTTATTCTATCTAGCTTCCCCAGAGGACTGAGGAGGGGGAAGCAGGTTCTAAAGCTCTGTAGAGAGAGGTCTGTTTCTCGCACAGAAGTGTGCTGCCCAAAGGCCGAGGGCCCCTTTGAAAGTCACTGCAGGCCAAGCCCGTGCAGGGCACCTTCAATGTCTAGCAGGCGACTCCCCTTACAGGAAGCCCTGGCCCCCTCTTGGAAACCCACGTCTCCCCACAGTACAGGACCACAGAGAGGCCCTTGGTGAGACTTTGGTTTGGATCGAGGTAATTTTCCTTTCCAATAAGCCTGAAAGAATTCAAAGACGGGGGGACACGTCTTCAATCTCATAGGGACCCCATAGGGACCGAGAGAATCTTGAAGTTCTGAGACCTGTCGTTACTAGCAGAATTATTATGATCATAACTAGCCTGCAATAAACTTTCACTGGTGAGTAAACGCTTCGAGCAGTGTCATCTACCACTAGGGAGGGCGGCGATAAACTCTAAACTATCCAGATGTTCAGCTGCTGCAGGCGATGAGAACCGCCCTCTCTCCAGTCAGGGTGACGGAGAAGAACCCTTCTGAGATACCTGCTGATCACAGTGTAGACGGTGTACTTCACTGGGAGCTCCAGCTGGAAGGTGGTCTTGCTGGTCCTAGGCGTGTTATTGTCACTGGAGAAAGAGGAGAGGCCCAGTAGCCAAGGACCTCAGAGGAGGCAGGTGGGGTGCAAGGCAGGAGGTGAGGGGACGCTGGCCCTGGGCCTGGCCCGGCTCACCTGCTCACATTGGCTGTCAGAAGCAGCCGGGCTCCCAGCACAGCCCTGGGGGGGGCATCA